TCTTTCTTTCTTTCTTTCTTTCTTTCTTTCTTTCTTTCTTTCTTTCTCTTTCTTTTTCTCCCTTCCTCATTGATTTCTGTGTTTTCTTCTCTCCTTCTATACCATGGATTAAACCCAGAGCCTCAGTCAATTCCAAAATTCTAAAAGTCTAGCTATGTCATCAGTTTCTACTACCAATGTCTTCAATGTGAAGATTCATGGAAAAGTCAGGAGTCTGCTGCCAAGAAATGGGTTTTCACACAACCTAATCATGTTAGAACTCTGATGTTTGGCTTTTAACCTCCAGACCTTTTAGAAACAAATATCTCTTCTTTAAAAAATATCCAGACTCTGGAATTTTGTTGTAGTTTCATAAATGTACTATGATGACTTCTTTAAACATTGTCTGACTTTAGGATCCTGGATGGTTTGTGAAACTCAGAATCTTGCTCTGATATATGTCATACTCCTTGAAACACTGCTTCCTTCAATATGGTTGAGTTAACCTCATGGTAAATATTCCTTTACATTTCTCATTTTATCGGCTACCATATCATACGTATGCCTATTTAGGGTCTAGACTTAAATACTTTGTACAAAGTAGACCTTGCTTTACTTCATTTTCAATTAGATGCAAAAAAGCACATACAGAATTAAATGTGTGCATTTGTGGTCTAATTTCTGTTCACCTATTATTCTCTATTTAACCACTTTTTTTTTTTTTAATTCTGGCGTCCTTGCCAGAACAGAGGAAGAGGATGCAGGCAGTACTGAAGAGACTTGATGGTTTGGGTTCAGTTGACAATGGAGGAGGGCTCCTCCTTTCTGAGGACTAGGAGAGAGGAATGGGGGCAAAAGGGAGGGAGTGTGGGACCTGGAGGAGATGAGGGAGGGGAACTACAATTAGGATGTGAAAATTAATAAATTAATAAAAAAAGAATTCTCCTCCCCTTTTGTACTCCCAACTTAAACCACATTAGTACAGTCCTTTGAGTGAAGTCAGGCTTGGCACTGTGCCCCAGTGAACAGTGCTGAGTCAGAACTGAGATGTAAAAGCCTTATGAACCTCCATTGCTATGCTCCTCCTGGCATGTTAATCTCTCTTCCCATGGGCCAGAATAATCTGGGCCACTTCTGTGGTCTTAAATCTCAGAATCCATGAGCCAAAACAAATTTTTCAATGAAATACTTGGTAACAGTGCTGAAAAAAACAACTTTGTTACATTGTATTTATTTGACACAGGTTGAGTGATGGTTTCAAAGCTATCCCTGTAATGTGAATGCTATATAGTAAAAGAAAATTTTCAAATGTGAGTCATCATTTTGAGATGATATTTCTAATTATTCATAAAAGGCCCCTGTCTTAGTTACTTTTCTAGCACAATCAAGACAACTTAAATGAAGTGTTCATTGTGCTTCATGGGGTTGAGTCCATTATTATAATGATAGGGAGCATGGCAACAGGCAGGCAGATTGTTGGAGCAGTAACTGAGATCTGACAGCTTATATATTGAGACAAAAGTAGTGAGGCAGATAAACAGAGAGAGGGAAGGGAGAAAGAGAGAGAAAGAGAAATGGGAATGGCATGGGCTTTCGAAACCTCAATGCCCACTCCCCAGTGACATACCTCCACTTAGAGACCACACTTACTAATCCTTCTAAAACTGCTCTACCAACGATGGACCAACTATTCAGATATATAAGCCTAGGTGGGCCATTCTTACTTG